CATAATCTGATACTTTTTCCATGGCATTCCCCCGAATTAAAAAGCCTATGTGGTTTATTAATCCAGGGCTGACATTAGATTTGACCCGTTGCTTTGACATGGCCTCAGCAAATATCCAACACCTTGTGCAGAGATCCTGAACGTCAGAGGTGGCCAAAGTGGCCAAAGTGGTGAGGAATCTCTTGGAAAACTACCTTAAATGATCAAATCACCGTTTTACCGTGGTTAATATATATATATATGGAAAACTCTTCAATTTATATTCTTTATCATATGAATCAGTATGGCTGAATGCCGATGCTCAAAAGATGAAATCATATTAAATCACTGCTGTGATGGCTATATCCCATGATATCCCTTTAGCTAAATATAGTTAAATCCACATACAGAAGGACTACGTGGGACAATTTGGTACAAACCAATCATTAGACTTTCTTTATATTCTTTTATCCTAATGATTTTATGATGGGAATTGGGCTGAGAGTGTCCATTTTAAGGCACCAAAACAAGGGCCGAAAAGCAGGAGATTGTTTGCCAAAGAATTTCAGTAGAGGCACATGATGATCAGCGAGTGGATTTATGGGTACCAATTCCATATCGAGAAAGCCATATTTTCAGATTGAAACCCTGAACTGACATCGTGCCTAGTGGATTGCCATGTGTATCCATGTTCATTTAAAATGGCTACAATTCAGCCCCCCAGCTGTTTAGTTCAATGATTTACATCCTATCTCAATGGTGATTTTCAATGGCACACCTTTAAATTAACAGAAGAGCTCTTCTGATACTCACAGATGAATCTGGGTAAATTACAATAATTCACTCACCTGAATAGTTCGGCCATTTGGGGATGATTCCCCTCAAATAAACCATGATTCTAGGGTTCGGTCGAGAACAGGGTTCGGTCGGCAACAAATCCCATGGATTGATAGCATCAACCATTGCATCCTACCCAAGGTCTACCCCTCCCCAACGAAGATATCTAACATACACCCTGCCCAATGTTGGGGGTTGGAAGATTATTTTCAACTCATTTTTTTAAAATTATTTTCAGGATCAATTTACTGTCAATTTACTGGATGATACATGATGATACCATCTGATTCTGTTTTAATTTGACTGTTCGTTATGGGCTTCCCATGGCCCACTTACTTCGATCAAACTTGCCCAGTTTTTCTTTGAGTTTGGCCAGCTATGGAAGACGCCCCCTAGTTATGTTTGTTGGTTTATAACATTTTATAACCCCATCCATTTTTTGGTTAGTTCTCCTACAAACAACAGAACAAAACATCGTTATAGTTGTAGTTTGTTTGGCCATCCGACATCATCTAACTAGGTTAGCTTGTTTCCTATACCTCGTCTGGTTGGTGGTATACCTACCCCTCTGAAAAAACATGAGTTCGTCAGTCGGGATGATTATTCCCAATATATGGACAAATAACAAATGTTCTAAACCACCAACCAGTACTTAACCATAGCCGTTTGTCAACTTAGCCAACGGGGCCACGCCTGAGCCAATCGAAGGGCCCAGCCTCGCCGCGCACACCCAAGGCCTGAGACAAACTTCACCGGCCATTTTTTCAGGGGGAAAATGGTGGAAAATTAGTGGAAGAAAAGTGGAACAAGGTGAAACATGGTGAAAAATCATAGAAACTAGATGAACATAGGTGGAATATATCAGAAGCAAGTGGAAAATCAGGGCATGTTTGCTAATTTTGTATAATTTTGTTATATGTTGATCAATTGAAACAAGACTGGGACGAACAGTGGAGAGGTGTGGAAACAAACAAGACGCAAGGAAGGAAACTGGGGGGAAGGGCACCATGTTTGAAACAGCAAACAAATTGGAAAACATAAGGAACAACTGGGGCGGAGGATATCGATTCAACCAGCAAAACGCAGAGAAACAATGAGCATACACTTTTCTTTTGAGCAGTACAAACATATAAATCAACTAGCAGAACACAAGATAAATTGACCACCAGTAACTGAAAGGGTCTACCATCTGGATGATACGGGATGATCTTAGATTCCCAGCCGCTCCCAGCCTGCAGGGCCGCAGCCACAGAGCATGAGGTGCCAAGGCTCACAAATCGTGAGGTTGCCATAAGAGACTTCACCTTGTGTTGGATTGGTTCAAGACTTAAGGTTCTTCCCATTCAACAAATAGTTAAAGATGGTACGTAGATTCTAAGTTCAAATAATAATAATAATAACAATAATAATAATAATAAAATATATGGAGCATATATGGAACATCCATGGAAATCATTTTGTTTCATGGGCAAAATCATCGACATTTTCTAGCCTCCAGCGTCATATTTGACCAGTGAATGGATTCACCTGGTTCGCCGCTCGAACTTGGACCCTTGGGCCCGAAAAAATTGACAACCTCCTGGCTACCCTCCTGTAAACATTCACAAAGATGTGGAGTTGACCCACCATGAAACATGATGAAAATATGATGAAACTAGATCCTTTTCCGCACGGGAATCCATGCGTTTTCCTCATGTTTTTGGAGCAGTTTACCGCAGGGCCTTTCGGCTTCAGCCTTCATTAAGGTGGGATGTTCCATTCGTCTTTGGCGCCAAAGTTTTTTCTAAAAGAGATTCCATTGGTTCCGGATTTAATGGGATTTTGATAGCCAAGTTGACCATTTTCGCCTCACCATCCGGCTTTTTGCAACTATGATGTTTCTCTGAAAACATGGTCAAATTTTCAGATCGACCTATAGAACTGGCTGATTGCTAATGGATATCTTATAAAACAATATAAAACAACACCGTTTCGATGCAAATGGATACAAGATGACATCATATGTAGGTTATTTTGATTTGAACGAGTCGAGAAGGGTGCGCTGCCTTTTTTGGCTACAACGTTTTCACCAGAACAAATGCGTCAGTAGAACTTTGAAACGTGGACACAAAAGATGCATGGTTAAATAGAGAACGGCCAGTCCTTTTAACCTGAATCCATGGCAATGACATTTCGGATTTATATCCATCTCACCATTGCATTAAAAGATCTTTAGTGATTTTAGTGGGATGTCACATATTCTTCCAGTTCTTCTTCCATATCAAATTTCACACACCGCTTTTCTGCGGTTTTCTGAAGCATCACAAGTTCTCGCGGCTACGGTGCTCGGAGATCAATGTGATTGGATTAGATCAGATAAGATCGGGTTAGATGGATATTATATATAGATTACAGATTTACAGTAAATGAAATTTAAATGAATGTAAATACAACTCTAAATAGACTTCCTCCTGTTTGTTTTGCAACGAAAAACTCCTCACCTATCCCCATCTTGATCCATGACCCACGCTGACCCACGCTGCGACGAATCAACTCGTCACCTGGGGATCCTCCAAGGCCAGACGATGTCTCCGTTCAGCTTGGAGCGAGACATGAAACTCGGGGTCATGCTGGACCTCCTCCTGCGAAAGGGGGATCCCGTTTTTAAACTGCCTGTTTTTGGGTATACCATCTTCAGAATCTTCAGACAAAGTCATATTTGTTTTTATGTTATTTCTATGTTTTTAATTGTTTTTATGTTTAATCCAAGAAATAGGAAACGGATATCATGGATTGTACAAGTATGGTGCTTCTCTCAATGTTCCCTTCATCCACTTCCCCACATCCAATGTTTGGAGACACACGCCTTCGAGCCATCATGCAATCAAGTCGAGCAAGCAATGTGGACACCCCAAATATCCAAACAGTGGTATATGCAGCATTTCTAATGGATATTTCTATATATATATGGATATATCAAATATTGAAAACACATATTATTTCTAGATACCCCATGTTTGTGTCCAAACTGATCACTATTGATCACTGATACATCTGATACTAAGAGCAAGCAACGCCCCACGACTGCCCCCACGACTCCTCGATGTGTTCCTTCACCAGCTTCGGTTGATCCAACTGGATGCACGGACCAGGAGCTATACAAAGCATGGCGAAATCAAAACTCGGACAACGAGCCAAGGTCCTCCAATCAACCTGCGATTGTACTTTAAGCATCTTTAAGCTGATCATTGTCTTGAAGTATCCGGACTCTTCAGATCTTTTGGGTGATCATTGTGACCCAAGATCAACAGAAGTCAGCTGCAAAAACCTTCGGAACTGGAATTGCCTGCCTTGCTTGTCTCCCCTATCTGTAAGGACGGGTCAAAGGTTGGTTGCGTCAATTCCAAACAGCCAAAAGCTGCGTTTTGCTGCGCGGTTTTTCCTATCTGCCAACTGCCAAAAAATGATATCTTTATAAGGATACCTGTGGCGGGGAAATTCAATCCTACAATTGTGAGTATATGGATGTATATGGGGGTTTCCAAACATGGGGGGATCCACAAAATAGGTGGATTATCATGGAAATTCCTATTAAAATGATTGATTTTGAATTTAGGGGTACCACCATTTTAGGATAGAAACCTACATATCAAAAGATACAGATTGATATATATAGCTTTATATAGCTTTATATAGCTAAATCGCTGATATTGATTAAGATGGGGGATACAAACCTACCCAAGTTCATCAAGACAGACTCACTGGGATGCCAGGGAATGGCCTGTGAAATTAGTAATTACTTGAAGATCCCAATTGAAGCCCCTGTAGTTCATCTAATTCCATGTTCTTTCCGCAAAGCACGTCTGCACGGGATATTTTGCATCAAATCTCTTTCAAATGCGAGTTTTCCGACTGGGCGTTTTGCCCTGTCGTGCAGACCGATTTGACACATCAGAGCCAACATTGAAGCTGGCCACCAACAGTGCAAGCAATATTTCTTGAAAAAGACGGATATTAAAAATCAACTGCATGTTTCCTGGAATTCCTCAGGCTTGATACCATCATTGATATCTCACCAGACCGGCCACTTTCGACACACAGAAAGTGGTCTTCACACCAATCCCATCCTCCAATCACTAAACCTTTCAAAATGCAACCCCAAGACCCCAAGTCATGAATAGGTCCCCCTTCCAACAGGCTTCCTTGGGGGGGTGTTTCAGTTGTTGTTTTTGGAGGACAATGGATTAAAAGTGCATGACATTGGATGCTTTCGAACCTCTCACGTTCCAGAAATCGGGATGTTCAAAAGGCTTTCCATGCATCCTGCAGCAAGAGGAAGGACTGAGCAGTTCGGTGGTGTTGTGAGGGCATTACCATGCCTTACCCACGTCTTGCAGTGAAAATCAAGCTTTTGAAGTTCAACTAATCATTCCAAAGTTGTGGGCAATAAACATAATTATATGTCAAACATACGAAACAAACAACCCCCTATGTCACATGATCCACTGCCGTAGTTCGCCGACCTGGAACAAAACCTTTGAGGTGTTACCCTCATACATATTTTAGGTAATATGAGCTCAATTTTGGTACCCCGAAAAATATGATGAATTAATGTCTAGTACCAGCATATCCTACATATCCTCAAATCTGTGAATTTCTCGGATTCAAGGTTTTCTTTCATACCTGAACTTTCATCTATGGTGACCCCAAACGGAACTGCAATCCCATTCCATTGTGCCTGGTAAATGTGGTAATAGCGTAATAAACATTGGGTATATGAAATGGATTTACATTAAATTGCCCATATTAAATCCCGTTATATATATATATATATGGGTTTATCGTTAGGTATACCCCTCGAAATGGGATGAAAGCCCTAAAACGAAGCCCAAGTGGTTGCTTCATGGGATGGTTTACTGAAGTAATCCCTTAATTATCCATTATTAGCCCACTATTATCTGGTTGGTGGTTGAGCCTTACCCGTCTGAAAAATAGATAAAAATATGACTTCGTCAGTTGGGATGATGAAATTCCCATGTTTTTTCGAACATAAAAATCATGTTCCAAACCACCAACCAGTTATCCTTTACACATCCATATATATTAGCCTATTTACGTCCTACAATATGCCACTATGGCATTGGCTTTACCACATTAGTCAACATGGAACTTTCCTAAAATGGGGCGACCCCCAGTTATCATCCATTCAAAAATGGGCTTTTCCCTTATACCCTCTGGTAAACTAAAAGTTTGCTATGGAAAATCACCATTTTTATTGGGTAAATCCACTATAAATGGGCCATTTTCAATAGCTTTTTGTATGTTTACCAGAGGCTAAACCATCCAGCTATTGGGGTATGCCCATGGAAGCTGGGCCCCATATCTCAGTGGTTCCTCCCACGATCTCCATCCCAGCCCAGTGACTGTGTGCGAAGCTGCGCATTCGCCAGCAAGGTCCGATAGTCCTGAAAACCCAAGGGCGAATTTTAGATATTTTGTCGAAAAAAACATAGAGATATGATGAGATATGGGTGTGTCTGAAAATTTGCCATTTTCACATTTTCAGAATTTGTCAGACACACCCATATCTTAGATATGTGGTACCTAATTTTCAAATATAGGGATATGTGTCTGAAAATGGCAGATTACACGAATTTTGGATGAGTTGGGGGTAACCCCATTTTAGGACACCTCCATATAAACCAACAATAACATCCCCTCCCCCCATGCATTTCCGTCAATAACTGGGGACTGTATTCCACCTGTTGCAGTAAGACTCCTGAATAAACCGGTGGAGACTGGTGAGTGGAGACCAGTAATTTGGATTTGGAGTGATATTCGATAACCTTCTGAAAACCAAGACAGGATAATACAGGATATATAGGACCTATGGGCCCTGAAGCACCTGACCGATTTCCCGGAACTCAGCTGGCAACGCATCCCGCATTTTGGGAGTGCCGGACAGATAGGACAGACTGCTTATAGTAAACCATCCCCAATTTCACCAGAAATGGGTCCATACTAACCATCAAGAATAGGACGGTTTCATTATTGTTTTACTATAACGTTATCCATGATGATCTCATATATATATATATGTATATATACATATCCCAATTAAAAAAAAAGAAAAACACCATATCAACTGGATTAAGCCCGTTTATCCCTGGGTTTTTGCATGGTTTTTATCTCATGCCACCATGCCGTAAATCCACCGCGGCTGGCGTCACCAAGCTGCATATGCTGGCACCCCAAACGGATCGAAGACCTGCGACATGGATCACCATGACAGGCAGGACATTGAAACCCATGGTGAATGACTTGGAGATCCCCAGGTATATATGTTTATTTATTTGTATGTGTATATATATAATGTATTATATGTATATATGAACATAATATATTATAGATACGTGGGCTTACGTGCGACATATGTGGTATTTTTATGTATTTTTCGTTTCCGTCTTCTGTTTTCGTTTCTAAGGAACAATGGATATGTTCGGCTATTCCGATTCGTTTCAAAATGATGACGGGTCCAAGATCAGTTCCTTTGACAATTCCATGTGGGTGTGGGATCTTAAAATGATTGGATTCCTCCTGGGAATATCTCAGAATTACCAGAATCCGTGGTTCCTTGGGTTGTTATAGTATAGATCGTTATTCAAGGCAATTTTGAGATGATTTCACTATCTACATGTCTAAAAAATGATGACGTGGTTGTGTCGCCATGATATATCCAGATCCTCAGAAAACATCAGAAAACATGTGAGCAATGTCTGTTTTATCGTATTGTCCCATTGTACTGGCTAATCCTTTCAATAATTCATTAGTGGATGGGGCGGTTCGGCGGTTCTTTATACCCTCTGGTAATTTAACATAGCTATCGAACATGACCATTTATAGTGGATTCTCCCATTAATCATGGTGATTTTCCATAGCTATGTTAAATTACCAGAGGGTAATCTCTATAGAAGACGGTTGTATAAACCCCTTTTTTGGGTTTGTCTGAAAATCGGCTACCCCATTCCATCCCATGCTGAAAATAGGCATCTTCTCTATTAAACTGGCCATAAATGATGGGGTGACTCCTCCATTTCCAGACATGCCCAAAATTTCACCTGAAGTGGGTTATATCATTAAAGAGCCCTGGGCTACTCCTAATAGGGCCACTCCTAAAAGTGGCTATCCTTTCAAACGAATTCTCAACAAATCCAAAAACAGATCAAAAAAACAAAAACAAACCTTCCAAAAAATCAATCCAACAATTCAAAAAAACGAAACCTAAAAAAAACAAACATGTCTAAAAAAAACAAAAAGGAATGAAAAAAACAATTAAGCAAACAAAAAACAAATCGCACAAAAATTCCAGAAAACTATTAAAGTTATCACGATTTCTTTAAGTCCCTTTTTAAAATAAGCTTAAACAATTAAATGAACAATAATTATGTGGAATTAAAATGTATGAAAAGTAATGTTCTAGGAGTGTCCCCATAAGGAATGTCCCTCTCCATAGAAAAAAATATATGTATAGATACATATCCCCACAAAGTATCCCTATACTTGTTGCTGTTAATTCGCCATTTGTTGCTTCATCATCTCCCAAAATATAAATGGTCATTTCATGTATCAATCCACAGAATGCTGTACCAAATCAAGCCATATAATTTGGGGGTATATCCCCTGAAATTTAGCCATTACATAGGCCTTCATTCCATGGTACATGTAGGCACCTCCAATCTTCATCGGTTCCTGTTGAATGGCCATTGATATAAATCCTATAAACATATATCATATATATATATAAACTCATAGATCCCAGTTTCCCGCTATTTCTCATGTTCATTCCATTTATCATAAGCCTTCGAACATCGCGCCTCTTTCGCAGGATCCAAACCGAAGGGATTGGTCCAGCCCGGCTGAAAGCCCGACCTCACTCACTGGAAGGCTGACATATTGCAGTAAATATGAAACTATTAGATATAAATCATCAAATGTATAATAATCATATAAAATATCATATTATATTATATATGCATGTATAATCATCAAAATGTATGTAATATTATATATTATGTATATACGTACAATGTGTATATATATATATGCTAGTTAATAGTATCTGTATATGTAATATATAATGAAGTGATTGCATTGTGTCTGAATCTTTGGCATCTGCACATACATGGACACGCAGCAATCGAACAGTGGCCGCAATATATCCTTAATTGATTATACACAATATGTGTATATATATATATATGGGTAAATTATAATATTTCACTAACCTGAATTAAGGCCATTTGGGAATGATTTCCCTTATTGACCATGATTCCAGGGTTCGGTCGCAGTGAGGTCGTGATCAAATTTACCCAGAGAAAAAAAGAGAAAGAGTATGCAGACATGCATATACTTCCGCGCAATCTTGGAGACTGCCTCACTTTCTATACTTAGACATACGATAAACTTATTGTCACATGTGATATGGCAATGGATTGAAAGCTATTGAAAACCCTCTGGTAATGACTAACAGTTTGCTATTGAAAATGGCCATAGAAATAGGGAGTTTTCCCATAAAACATTGTGATTTTCCATAGTTTTTTGATGTTTTTTGTATGTTTACCAGAGGGTAATTTCACCCCATATTTGGGGAGATAGGCCATGGAATACTTACCACACCAAGGAACGGTGCTTCCAGTCTGTCTGGAGCAGATCGGAGCGGCGCAGTCGCTTCACCATCCTCTCGAAATCGGCTCCTGGGAGACCCGTACACGCAGTTGTTGTTATTGTCGTTGCAGTTTGCCAAGTGGATCATCCAACATCTTCACTATATATATATAATAGATGTGTCCATCTATGGATATCCATCACTAGCAAATCATTTCTCACGAAATTGGGCCAGTGATGGCCAGGGGCCCATCTGTTCTTTTTGAGCTATGAAAAATCACAGGAGAGCAAGATGGATGATTTACAATGATGTGAATCACATGACATACTGTATATATATACATAATTTGGATCAATTCACAACATACAATGAGTTTGCTGAACATTTTCCCTGAAACCAATCCGATGAGCAAGTGCAGCAAGTGGTCAAAAAATTCGGTTTCTGTGAAAATAGGCTATTCCCAGTCCTAGATCCACTGGTTAATTGGTTAATCATTGGTTAATCTTGGATGAATCATCATTATCATCATTATCCCTACAATGTGAGGCCCCCAAGATAGCTAAGTTGTTTTATAACTTCAATAACTATGGTTTATGGTACTTATAACTATAGTTACTGGGGCTTATAAACCAACTTATAACTGGGGGGCCTCACATTGTATACTCAATGGCCATTCATTGGGGGTAAGTCCTCCATTGTCAGACACAAATCCCTTGATTTATCCCATGATTTATCGGCTCCAAGCTCCCAACCGTTTTCGCAACGAAACTGGGCAGTTACTACAAGCCACACCATCGCATACATGCGAAACTTGAAACGTGTTTGTTGAAAGCAAAACATGAAATTGCTTACTATGTCAATGTCTTATCATGTCTTATCAAATCATGTGTACATATCAGAGTATCAGTTTGTTGGAGACTTCCTTCACAGTCATCCAAATAAACCTTTGTGAAAAGATGATCAAGACCCAATACGACAGGCGCCGATATAGTACACATGTGGATCATGGTGGGACTATCGGTTTTCCGCTTCCACCAAGCAATGATTCAAGGGTTGTATGGGGGAGCTTCTCCAACGAGGTGCAAAACATGACCCCAACGAGGACCTCTCCGACCTATGAAACAACGGCGCAATCCTTCGGAGAGCCCCGCTGGGAAAAGTTCACCATCGAATCTCCGACACTTCGAGTGGTCAAAACATGTCAAAACCGTGACGCCATGCTGGAAATTCCTATGAAGTTCCATATAAATCCATCATGAAATTCATCATGAAATCCATCATAAAATCCATCATGAAATCCATCATGCTGGAAATCCTATGAAGTTCCATATACATCCATCGATGCTGGTTGCTTCAATTTGCTTCATGCCCACCCACGGCTCCAGCTCCTTGAGTCAGCTTGAGATCCTGCGACAAGTTTACATCTCCGTTGCATGTTATAGCAAGCCTCAAAAAGATAGAACAGTGTCCAGGATATTCCAAGATGGTATAGATTACAGTATAATTACGTTCCGCATATTTTCTAGGTGTCCAACTGTTTTTTTTCTTTTGGGTTGCTATACTGCTATGATAGTCATGAGTCATGTTCAATTCAATCCCAAAGTCCGTAGATTTCCGAACAGAAAGAACTCGTTGGCGATTGCAACCCATCCCGCAAATACGTTCGTCATTCAGGATGTTCATTTAAACAACTGTGGCTGAATATGAATAAATAACTGTGAATGAACCAGCAACCAGATCTATATCTTTCTCGAATCTTCTATGCTTGGTCGAAGCATAAGCAAGATGGATATCCTCTGGTAAACTAACATAACTATGAAAAATGGCCATTTATAGTGGATTTTCCCATTAAAAATGGTGATTTTCCATAGCTATTATGTAAACGTTTACCAGAGGGTACCTATTTCTGGAAATTTCTACGACATCCCATATATGAAATGGAAAATGAAAAAAAATGTTTGAAACCACCAACCAGATATATATATATATATGTGTGTGATTCCACTTCTTTTATGGCATCATCTGGATGTGATTATATATATATATATATATACATAACCTATATCCAACCAGATATGATTCCACTATGATTCCACTATAAATATCCCAAGGATTCACTATTTATCAATGGGATATATCCCATAGATTCCACTATGGTTCACTGCTTCTCTCCTCCTGGTAGCGATCGGGCTGCGGCTGGCTCCACCGACACCATCGCCTGGGACGGTTTTTTGTTGTTTGCCAAGAAGGAACCATGGCTACCCTCTGGAATAACCATAGGAAAACGATAGGAAAATGGTAGTTTAATGGAATTTAATGGGATTTAATAGGATATACTCTATGGTAAACTAACAGTTTGCTATGGAAAATCACTATTTTTAATGGGTAAATCCACTATTTCTATTGCCATTTTCAATGTCGCAAACTGTTAGTTTACCAGGCCGGGTATGTCCGATGTTCACCCTGCGGGGACTCTGAGGTCTGTGCTGCCAAGGCTGCAGCATGTAGCTTCTCAGCTTCAGTACCTGGAAACATCTGGAAACATTGGGAGCTTGGGGCCCCAATAGATCTCACACAACTGTGCCATGGCCGTTTGGCCTGGAAGAAAAGTGTGGCTTTTCGTTTGGGTATGTAATAAGCAACGTCTTTGTGATTCCATCCCGAAAAAGGCTCTCTACTTTTGCTATAAAAAATACTCCTTTAATGGTGATAGATTTACAATTTACAACTAATGTCTGGTCTTTTATCATCATATTTATCACCATTTATCTTTTAGTTCTCTTCGCTCAACTCCATTTCAATCTTCTTTTCCCAACCGCAAAAGTATCCGCGATCCTATCCCTGGAACAGGTTGGCACCTATCAGCGATTGGTTGACCTACCCCTCTGAAAAATATGACTTCGTCAGTTGGGATGATGAAATTCCCAAGTGAATGGGAAAATAAAAGCAATGTTCCAAACCACCAACCAGAATAGGCATCTTTGCAAAATTTGTTTTCAACACACTGAACAAATATTGTCACTGTCACTGTCACTGCATTTGGTGGAGAGGTCCCTGAACAAGTTGCATTCTACAATTTGCATTTTCAACATATGAATATGCATTGTTGTGCGTAAGTTAGGGATAGCTGCTGTGGCCAGGTTCATTTCTTAATACTAACCCAAATCACTGACTTTGCTTGGGATAGCTTCACTTGATTTTCTGACCCTTTACGAATCAGAGGTTCGTTTTACCCTCCAGAAAGCCAACATAGATGTGGAAAACCCAGTGTTTCCCTAGGAAATGATGCATAAATGGTGTATTGTTCATATGGGTATGGATCAATACCTATTAATACCATTTTTAGGGAGATGAACATCCATTTACCAGCTTTTTGATGTTCACCAGGGGTACAAGGTTTTGACACACTGCCATATCTCTGTTAGTTGAAACCGGCGTGTAAACCGCCCCAAAACGTGGGGTTTTCGATACTTCTGACCCAGGGCATCGTCAAGCTTCTGGCAGATAGAGGCTACTTGGATGTGCATCCCTGGCATGCTACGTGTGTAATTAAAATATACCCAACCTGGTTATGACTAACATAGCCATGGTATAGATGGCCCTAATCGAAATAGACGGTTTACCGAACTTAAAAATGGGTGTTTGATTTTCCATGGCTATGTTAAATAACCAGAGGGTAATCCTACAACTTCATTCTACCTGGTTTCTGAAGCATTTAAACATTGTCCCCAGCCCCAAGACAACATGGCGCACGAAATTCGTCCAGTTGGTTCTCACGGTCCTGGTGAGGTGTTTTTTTTACCAACAGAAATGGTCTGTGGTTGAGTTCAAAGGTCGTGAATCGTATCAGAAAAAACGGTATATAACTTATATAACGGTTCATATAGTTCATTCCAGTTAATTTAGCCAATGTAAAATGATGTAAAATGGTGAGTGAACAAACGAAAGCGCGTCAAACGGTTATCAACATATGATCATTGAAATCGGGTATGGCCATGGCCCATCCCAAGTTGCTGAAGATTGTGCTGTCGCCCGCTGTCAGCGGCGTATGGCGTTTGCAAATACAACATATTGTAACACTACATTACATGCCTGCACTGATGGAATATTCATAATCAATGTCATTTATAAACTAGTCTAGTAAACGATATTTTTGATCAGAAAGGCGCTAAGTGATAGTTTCAAATCTATCGTCATAACTATTGGTTTGCAGGTTGTTTTTTTTCCCAGTATCCGAGGGCGTTTGCATTGATAAATTGATGGAGTTTGAACCACCTGCCCATGGGAGGTTTGGCACCTCTTTGAGATGTTGCAGCAACTGCCTTGGAGGCAAGGTGAAGGTTCTGACAATTATATACATAACATATAATATTATATTATATATAATATATATATAGTATAATATAATATAATATAAAATATTAAATAATATAATATAATATAATATACTATAATATAGTATAATAAAATATAATATAATATAATATAATATAATATATAATATATAATATATAATATATAATATATAATATATATATAATTATATATATACATATATTATTATATTATATTATATTATATTATATCATATTATACTATATATTATATTATACTATAATATATATTAAATTAAATTATATTATATTACATTATATTATATTATATTATATTGTATATTACATATTAAATATTATATTGTATAATAATATATAATATTATTTATTGTATTAAATAATATATAGTATTATTTATTGTATTAAATAATTTATAATATGTAATTTGAAAAGATGTAATATATAATATGTAATATAAATATATATAATATGTAATATATATATATATATGTATTATGTATACATGTATATATGTATATAAAATATTATATATAATAATACGTATATATATATATATGTAATACTACACATATGTATATATATATAAAATAATAATAATGATATATATATATATACATATGTCAAAATAATAAATAAATACATATATATATATATATCATAATAATATATATATAATCATATAATAATAAAGACAATAATAAGTAGGAATAATAACATTAATAATATACATATACACATATATATATATATATATTATGATATATACACATGACACTTCATATCTGGATATATCATTATATTTCACCGCCTGAAATGATGCCATTTGGGGATGATGCCCCTTACTGACCACGATTCCAGTGAGGTCACAGTGAGGTCACTAAATTTTCCCCAGATTATATGGGTTTGGGTTCATTATGGGTTGGTTCAATGTGGTGGATAAGCCTGGATATTGTCATGGGATACAAAAGTGGAATAGTGAATAGTTGTGGGATGTGTATAATTGGTTGTTTGATGATATATGATATCTATAACATATATATTTATAATATTATACATAATATGAAGGTTTCCTGAAATGGGGGTACCCAAAAATGGATAGTTTATCATAATAGAACATCCTATACCCCCATTTTAGGAAAGGTCCATATACATATATATATATAATGTATATATATATAAAATGTATATATATATATATTGTGTATATATATATATATAAAATAGCTGTATGTATAAATAACATATTAGTCAATGGGAAGGATTATCCCATATATTCTGGAAAATAAAAAAAATATGTTTGAAACCACCAACCAGATAGATATGTGGATTTATCAGTGGAGCACAGGGACACCCTTAATGTTTACGGCCTGTTTTCAAACAAACTTCCCAAGTTTGTGCTTTTGTAGACCCACACCCACGTGTTCCCACATGGGTACATTGGAAACCAGCCATAAATAAATATTTATAAGAAAAAAAAACGTAGTACAAACATGTATATGACCGTTATATCGTAATACTTCAATGCACAGGGACTTGGATTTGGTGATGTTCAGAATGATGGAGGATACCTTCAACTGGGAGAATGATGAGGAATTCCATTTACTGCAGTCCTACATTACACGCTTCGTTACCATCAATAATGTGTGCCAGATTTTGGGTGATGGTGCTCAAATTTTGACATTACTGCTATTTACTGCTGACTATCCCGATTTCTGAGGGGTACAAGGCAAGGAGTCCTAGAGAGCGATAGTTGAATGCTTCAATTGGTTCCATGTCATACAAGCCACTTCGAGTCAATCAACCGGGTCCCATTTTTCGAGAACCAACAGTGTTCAAATGATGTAATTAGTTAATTCTGATGGGTTTTCAGGGCGTTGTTCCCATGCTTGAAGGTCGAACAAAAATCCAACATGTCCCACTATTCCCACTTTTGCTCGCGATAACCCCATAAGTCAAGCCAAAAGTCTGCAAACAAAAAATCCGGGCAACACATAAAGGCCATGGACTAACCAATCAAAAGCTTGGAACCATCCTACATAAGAAATATCTTAAGCTCACCAATTCCAAAGATTTCACCCTTTAGCATCCCGTCCAGACCCCCAAATCATCCGCTTCCTGTTCAGCTTACCATATTTTGGGATATGTTTGGTAGGTCAAATGTGGTACCCTCTGCTAATTTAACATAGCTATTGAAAATCACAATTTTTAATGGGAAAATCCACTATTTCTATGGTCATTTTCAATAGCTATGTTAGTCATTACCAGAGGGTAACATGTGGTAAAATGTGGTCACAGGGCCCATCTTCGGTGATTCCATCGCCTTTTTTTTGGGGCAAAGATTCCCATGTGAAAAGAACCGTTTTGATCCTGATGTTGGCCTACGTCAAACAGTCATCCCCCAAATCATACGTCAAATTCCCGAATCATCCCCCAAATTATGCTTCAAAAACCCAAGTCATGGTTCAAACAATATGGTCTATAAGTAGGTATAGGTATTAGGTTAACTGTAGGGTCATCTTTGCGGATATAACTACTGAAACTACCTGGTAAATCACCAAATCGGGTACTTGCAGGATCATCCAACGGATGGTTTTTCTGGTGATCGTAAACAACTGGTGATCGTAAGTCTCCTGTCTGTAGGCTTATTACATTTATAAATGGGTAAATTATTACGTAATTCAATGTAGTTCACCTGAAACTTGCGTTTTTCTTTTGGGATGATTTCCTGAATCCTAACCATCATTCCCAAGGTCACAGGGAGGTCGTTATCATGTTCCCAGATTTACAAGGTGTTATAAGGGGACTAACCCCCGGATTAGTAACCCTGGTGATCGTCCCTTAAGTAGGTGTACTATGGTGTACTTAAATATGCCATTTCTATCCATGGGAGATTCCAATGGGTTATACCGTAAGTTCTACCCCCACGGCCCCACTCACCAGTTCCAAGCGACTCCTCTCGTTCTCGGAAGGCTTCCCAAGCGGCCGGCGTCAAGGGTTGCCCCCGCGGCAAGACGCTGGTCACGCTGCTGCGGTCGTCCCCCTAGCGACTTTTCGGAAAATCCAACGGGATTTTCCCAATGATTCCATGGGATATTCAATTCAATGGATTGGTTTAAGGGAAAATCTACAGGAAACCATGGTTTTTACCATCAAATTGATCGGGGTTTCCGGTTAAATTTTTCCCATCATCCAATTCTATGATCAATGGGATATTCTTACGGCCTTTTGGGACTGCATGTCGCGGCGAGCTTGATAATTCAGATGCTACACCAAGCCAATTCACTTGCTGCCTTTCGCTCTGTGATGATAGTCGGGACCAATGCGTTCCCCAATGGGATATATATATATATTAGGCGGAAACCAATGTAAAAACTGGGTATTATGGAATATCCCCGTGTGTGGTGCCTACGGGTGGTTGTACCCAAATTTATCCCGGATAAATTTCTTGGGGCCAAGTTTTTTCGGAGTAAATTTCCATTCCCAAAAAAGGGCACAACCCCCAGGCGTACATGTACACACAAGAAAAAAAACAGAATCAATTTTGGGACCATGGGGGCAAACATCTCTGGATAAAGTTCCAGTGGCCAAGGTCCTGTTTATCCCTTTGAAAGTCTCCAACAAACTCCGCTCCGAGAAACTCCACACTTTTCTTTGGTTGCCAGTGTCGCTGAATATTTTTCCATGGGACAACCCCCCTGAACTTTTAAAATACCAACGTTGGGGCTGTATAAATTTCCTAGAGGGATATTTTTTTCGGGCACAGGGTCATGAAAAAAATCCTGCCAGCACGAACCCGGATATGGAATATTGATGGGATTTATGGAATGGGAACATTCTAGTTCTAATGATATAGGTGGGATATGAGATTAATGAGAGATTAATATAGATTAAAGGGATTTAGAGGAATATTGATACGGATTCCTGGTTTTGTATTGGATCTAATCATTTTGGGGGATGGCTATTGATACTAGGGAATTTTCAAAATCACCTCACTAAAACGTATTCTATCTACATTCTATCTACTGCGGGATGATGCTTGTGTGAGTTAATCTGGAAATAGGGGAGAACGGGATAACCCAAAATGGTTTCTTCAATAGAAACAAGTGATGACAAACTGTAGGATTTACATGGTACATAGGACTAGGATTGGTGTGTATTGTACATAGGACTAGGACTGTAGGATATTATATGATAGTAAACCCAGTCATAAAGCTATGATGTATATGCATGGCCAATCTTAGATACCTTGCCTGCAAATACTTTTTGCTGGTTGGTACATGTCACCCTTTAGCACGAACAATTAAAGTTACTGTACAATACCCATCCTAGGAAGATCCACTATGGGACAGTACATATTATTGGTTTCTCTTGGTGTAATGTGGTAGGCCCCATCATACACCATCACTAAGTTGCATTGTGTTTTTACTTGGGGGGTGCAAGCCCTTGAGCCGTAACATCCAGGCAGTTTGATGGTAACATCCAGGCTGTTTTGGTGATGCTTCAATCCACGTCTCCAATGGTTAAACCCCTGCATTAGATGCTTAATAATACATATCTTTAACATTGTTCAATCATGTTCAATCCACATCTTTCTTGGATATCTTTGATATTGATAGCTACCACGTAATTGAAATTGGTTGAATTAGTCATCAGGGGAAAAAAACTAAATAACAATCTTTGATGATGACTATGAATCCTGATGGTTGATAATTTAATAAAAACTTAAATAACTATTTAAATCACATGCAATCAACACTCTTCATGGCTTCAATCCACCTCAAAATCTGCCCCGCTGCCCCGCCATCTCCAAAATCTGCGCCAGGTGCTGCCGATCTTTGGCCGGTCCCCCGGCACAGTTCACCTGACGATACGGAACATCTTAACCGGAAACCAAAGATTTTCCCATCCCATAGGATCCATGTATGCTATATATGGTGACATTTACCATCAATATACCCCAAATGTTAGCATATATACCACACATGTAAATTTGTTTTTTTTTCCGGTGTCAATTTTCCCCTGGACCAATCCATTGAAGAAATAGATGATTATAGGGATCGAATAGAGATTGGACAAATAGATTGACCATATTTATAGGGATTTATGGTATTTTTTTGGGGACTTTCAAAGATGTGGATCGCAGCAAAATATGCGTTTTTTGAGTGGATTTCGTGGGAATATCATAGGAAACCACAAGGTTTATAGTGATTTTTTGGGGGTGCCTTAAGTTATGGCTGATCCGAAAAATTAAAAAAAACAAACACATAGAACCCCCATGACTTAGGAAAATTCCATATGTGGTGTATATATATATATTTTACATGTGCAGGATGGGTTTTGGTTCGATTCTAGTCTCAACTGGGAACCCTTCAGTGCCAGCTCCTTTTGTGGCTGCTTTTCGCGCTTCATGCGCTTTGGAAGTGGCTCATCCGCTTTAAGCGGCTGCGTCGCTTCATAATGCCTTCCCTTTAGGTAAAAGGCTAAAGTGACTGGAGGGCCCCATGCAGACGGATCTATCGACGCAGGGGGGTTGAATTCTACGATGTGGCCATCGGGCATGTCGGAAATGATCCGGAGGGGGCGAAGCAACAAGTGCGCACTGGCCAAACAGCACAAATCGTCCGCATAGACCCCGTCACGGCTCAAGTTGCGGACGTAGTCATCATATGACTTGTAGAAAGTGTCAAACCAATCACTGAAAGTCTGGGGGAAGGAGCGAAGGTATGAGCAGACCTCAGCCCGAAGACTTTGCGGAGAAATCTCCAAGCCTGCAGTGTATGATAGGCTGATGAAAAAACAATTCCCATCAGCTCTGTATCAATCCTCTCGTACTCTTCTTGTCTCAGACGTTGGGCCACCAAAGCGCGACTGGCTTGCAGCTGCTCCGCGTGTTCTTGCATGTCTTTCAAAGACAACTCTACGCCCATCTTCACCTGGGCCTCATCAAACTCTTCCGCGGATTTTTGGAAAATAGGCTCCAAGCCTTCCCAGAGAGCATCCTGCCGATCCTGGACTGAAAACTCCAAGAAATGTTGCTTGCAGAAGTTGCCCTGACTACGGGGCCTTCGACACCGACAGCCTTTTGTTGTTGGAGCCATGCAAGTCTTGGCTTCATCCAGCAGGGCTCCTTCGCAACTCAAGAACGCAGGTGCCTCTTGAGCTGCAGGCAAGCCAGGCAGAAGTTGCGACAAAGAGACACGGCGCAAAGGAGCTTTGTTTGCCTGAGGGCAATCTTCCCCTGCCACAAGTTCAGGAGCTGCCAGCATGGCTTTCGTTCGTTCCGACTTTTGTACGTTTTTCTTTTTCTTCGGACTTTTCTTGGGCCGAGAATTGGAAGGACCTTGGCAAACCGGAGATAAAAAAGCTTTGTCCTGGATCAAGGCAGAGATAAACAAGGTGTGTTCCGTCCATCCAGCTCCTGTGAGATAGTCTTTGTGGGTGTCGAGGACATGTCTCTGTGAAGTCACATAAATCGTGACAAATGCTTGCCTCAGGTACGCATGGCGGTGTAAGCAATATGCACCTGTCTTCGGACTTCTGTAGGCATCTTGAATATCTGCTGACGTCTCTGCCAGTGCAAGTTGCATACAAGCTTGCATGTCCCTGGGCTTGTCTTTGGCATAGGAAAGCTGATGTTTCCCCATGACATAGCATAGTTTAGCCACTTCTCCAGTCCGCAGCTGCTTCTCACATGTGGACGCAAGAAATGTGTTGCGAGGACCAGCTTCCTGGTAATGAGCAACAATCTTGTCTCTGTCGAGGCGCTGTGCCTTGGTCTTCGTCACCACATCGTCACCGACAATGGAATCCTTCAACCTTCTTGAAGAAGCCTTGCGCAACTCATCCCAAGGCTCTGCAAGCGTGGTCACAAGCTTGTCATACGTGCCAGCCAGATTCTAAGCGAGATGCCAAAGATTCACACACCTCCACCATAAGACTGCCAACATCTCTGCGCTCATAACCTGGCGCCAGCAAGCCTTTGAGCACGCGGTGTTGCACCTCGATAGAATTTGGCGCAAAAGTAGTGATCCCAGGAGGAAGGAGACCCAATCCACAGCACCATGGTGCTGTCCACAAGGGGCCAGAATCATTGAACAGGTTCTTCTTCAAATACTTAGCAAACTTCTTCTCTCCGAAATCGGTCGGGGCGCTTTTGCCCTCCATCCTGGCAAAGCAACTTGACCAAAACGCATGAAATTCTTCATCGCTTGGGAGCGTGGCCGTGAATTGTAACCACTCTAATATCACATCCAAAAGTTCTCCATTGCCCAAGAGGGTTTTGCCAGAGGCTTTGTCCCTGCCAGCTGCAGCAGCTCGCGCATTTGTCTTTGCATGCTGCAGGCATCTCCGGACATTGACATGTGGGAAGTGCTCCGCGGTGTACGAAGCGACACCGTAGTACACACTGCAGTCAAAGATACCGTGGGTAACGTGGATGCCCCATTTCTCTGCTTGAGAGAAGTAAAGCCTGACAGCCAAATGCTGAGCAGGCTCATCCTCTTTGGATGATACCAGAAATATCGTTGGCAAAAACCGCATGCTTGGCCCATGCTTCTGCAGGACTAGGCCGCGAGGGCCAATAGAACCAAGAAGCAGACCATGGCTATTGGTTTTAAAGGTCCAATCCAGCAAACATGTCCCAAAGTCCACCTTCGACTTGTCCATAAACTTGTCCACAGCCTGTTGCAGGCTAAATGCAATGAGAACACGGCCTTCTTCACAAATGCATTCCTCTGTGTAAATGTAAACGCCGTCGGGCGGAGAAGACACAAATGCTTTCAAATCTCCCAGGAAAGCGATGCTGGCACCCTCGCCCTGTGTGGACACTTTCTTCGGCCGTTGGTTCTTCACTTGCCAAGCTTTTGGACGATGTTCAGGCTCTATACCAGCTTTGCGCATTGCCTTCAATGCGTTGGCTGGTGTGTGCTCCTTGGCAAACCTTCGGGCGTAGAAACGCCGCAAGCGATCCACATCCTTTTCTCCCGAGCACTGACCACAAGTCTCTATGTGCAAGCTGCCTGACACCAGCGAGAAACACCATTGCTTTGAGCATTCTTTGCAGGCACTGCACCTTCCGATCAGTGTGGTGGCACCTTTGTTGCTGGACTTTGTAAGGGTCTTGTGAGGAATCTCCTTTGCCCTTAACCATCTCTGAGCCCCGCGGCGAAGATCCTCACCTTCGCACAGCTCATCTGTGCCAATCAACTTCCACTCTTTCCGCTGTCGACCATGAACAGCAGGATGCACTTCCACATCTGTTTCAGAACTTTCTTTCACTGGGACTATGGCTTGTTCCGACATCTGCGGAGGGCAAAATTCGATTTCAAACCTTCTCTGTGGAATCCATGGAAAAATCAAAATTCAGATCTAAGCCTTCTTCCAACCCAGGATGGACATGTTTGAATTCGAATCCAGGACAAGCTGACAACACAAAGCAGCATCAGCTCAAATTCAAATATAGGCCCCTAGCAACAGGCAAGCGATTCCAGTCCAAATAGGGTCTAAATTCAAATTTAAGCCTTTACACATATACAGAGAGGTCTCCATAGAGAGGCTGAATTTGAATTTAAACCCAGTTGGATTCGAAAATCAACCCTATTCGAGGCAGAGAGAGGCAGAGAGAGGCAGAGAGAGGCAGAGAGAGGCAGAGAGAGAGAGAGAGAGAGAGAGAGGCAGAGAGGCAGAGAGAGAGAGAGAGAGAGAGAGAGAGGCAGAGAGAGAGAGAGAGAGAGAGGGAGAGGGAGAGAGAGAGAGAGAGAGAGAGAGAGAGGCAGAGAGAGAGAGAGAGAGAGAGGCAGAGAGAGAGAGAGAGTGAGTGAGAGAGTGAGTGACAGAGACTGGGAGAGATTGCCAGAGAGACACTTGCATGCATAGAGAAAGAGATAGATAGTAGACAGATAGACTGATAGAATGATAGAGAGATGATAGATGAGTATATACATTGACAGGTAGATAGACAGAAAAATAGATAGACAGATCGATGGATAGATCGAGAAATAGACGGATAGGCAGATAGACAGATGGACAGATAGTAGACAGATAGACAGATAGGTAGACAGATGGACAGAGAGATGCATAGACAGATATGGTCAGGTAGATAGATTGATAAATACATAGATAGATAGGCAGATAGACAGACAGACACAGAGAGAGAGAGAGAGAGAGAGAGAGTGGAGACTCAGACTCTTCCGGTTCATCAGTTCACCCTGCCATCCATGAGTCACGACAACTCACCTCTCATATAGAAGTTTCCTATCTTTGACGCTTCGCTTCCGCCACCGCCTTGTGCCGTACTACTGGTCTATTTGAGACATATCGAAATCAAACTTCCCACTGTTGGACAGATGCAGCAACAGTGGTGAGAGCAGGTGGAGAAGAGAAAGAGACAGAAGAGAAAGAGTCAGGGAAGAGGGAGTCAGCAGAAAGAAGATCAAGGTGCGCGAAAAGGTAGAACAGTCGCGGCACACTGTGTTTCCCGAATGCTTTGTGGCTCCGGAGGATCGAAAAGTAGGCCCGCTGATGGGGCGGATACGGGGGCATCTAGTCAGATGAGCGATCAAAAATTGCACGCCGGTGTGGCACGAAGCACACTTCAAAGTCAAAATGGCGAAACCACCTCAGCGTCGGAGCGCTTGTGGAAGCTGAGTCGTTCAAAAAGTGCAGTCGGCTCTGGCGCCAAGCACATTTAGAAGTCAAAACGCTAACCACACCACACATTCAGACCACTATTGGACGTTGAGCTATCGAAGAAGTGCACGTCGTTGTGGCGAAGCACATTTCGAAGTGAAAATGGTGAAAGCGCAACACGTTCGCACCATTTTTGGAAGCTGCGAGGTTGAAAAATGCATGCGACTGTGGCACGAAGCCATTTCGAAGTCAGAAGCGTTAAAAACTTGGCGGTCGCGGACCACTTTTTGAAGTTCGGCTGCGGTTTTGCGTGGCAGGCGCAATGGATTCTGCACCTTTCCAAAGAGTGAACATAACGCGCTGGTTTGTGTAGCAAGTTCAAAAGCTGGGGCAGGCGCGGGGCGTTTGAACAAGATCTGCAAAGATGCAGGTTGCGTGGCAGGCGCAGCAGAAGAGACAAGAAGAGACATCTTCATCAGAGATGTTAGGAGGTCAGGGCGCTGATTTCCTGAGAGGAGTTTCATTTTGGAGCATCAGATCTGCAGGTTTGCTAAGATGATTTTGCCTTTTTTCGTGGCAGGCGCAATGCTTTAAACACATGGCATTGCATGGAAAAAGTGAAACGCATTGGTACGAGGCAGTCAGCTCTGCATTCAACTTTCCATTTTTGAAGGAAGTCTCGCAGAATTACTTTGTTTTCGATGTTGTCAAAATTTCTTCGTTTTGGAGCCGTGAAGTTCCATTTTTTGAGAACATCTCGCAGAATTGCTTCTTTTTGGACCTGTCAGGCTGTCAGCTTCCACTTTTGCAGGTGGTCTCGCATAACTGCTTCCTTTCAGATAGATGAATATAGATGGAGAAAGAGAAAGAGATAGAGAGATGAAAGATGGAGATGGAGAGAGAGAGAGAGGTAGACAGAGAACAGAGATATGCAGAGATTGAGAGAGATTGACAGAGAGACGAAAACATGCATAGAGAACTAGATAGATAGTGAGAGAGACAGGCAGACAGACAGACGGACAGACAGACGGACAGACAGACAGACAGACAGGCAGACAGGCAGACAGGCAGACAGGCAGCCAGGCCAGACAGCCAGGCCAGACAGCCAGACAGCCAGACAGCCAGACAGCCAGACAGACAGACAGGATAAGATTAGATTAGATTAGATTGGATTAGATTAGATTAGATAAGATAAGATTAGATTAGATTAGATAGATTATACAGATTAAAAAGATTAGATTAGATAGATTATATAGATTAGATTAGATAGATTAGATTAGATTAGATTAGATTGGATTAGTTTAGATTGGGTTAGGTTAGGCTAGGTTAGATTAGATTATATAGATTAGATAGATAGATGGACAGATGGACAGATAGACAGATAGACAGATACACAGATCGACAGATAGATAGATAGATAGATGGATAGATGGATAGATGGATAGATGGATAGAAAGACAGAAAGACAGAAAGACAGAAAGACAGAAAGACAGATAGACAGATAGACAGATAGACAGATAGATAGATAGACAGATAGACAGATAGACAGATAGATAGATAGACAGACAGATAGATAGACAGATAGATAGATAGATAGACAAATAGCTAGATAGACAAATAGATAGATAGAAAGATATAGATAGATAGCTAGATAGCTAGAGAACTAGATACCTAGATAGATAGATAGATAGATAGCTAGGTAGGTAGATAGACATGATATATAATTAAATAGATAGATGGATAGTTGGATAGATGAACAGATGGATGGAAAGATGGGTAGATGGATAGGGGGAGAGAGAGAGAGAGAGAGAGGCAGAGAGAGGCAGAGAGAGGCAGAGAGAGGCAGAGAGAGGCAGAGAGAGGCAGAGAGAGGCAGAGAGAGGCAGAGAGGGGACCAGACAAGAGAGAGCAGAGAGAGGCAGAGAGAGGCAGAGAGAGGCAGAGAGAGGCAGAGAGAGGCAGAGAGAGAGCAGAGAGCCGGGCAGAGAGAGGCAGAGAGGCCAGAGAGAGGCAGAGAGAGAGAGAGAGGCAGAGAGAGGCAGAGAGAGGCAGAGAGAGGCAGAGAGAGAGAGAGAGAGGGAGAGAGGGGGAGAGGAGAGGCGAGAGAGGAGGCCGAGAGAGGAGAGAGATCCGAGCAAGAGAGAGGCAGAGAGAGGCAGAGGAGGCGAGAGGAGAGAGAGAGGAGGAGGAGCGAGTCGAGATCGAGAGAGAGAGAGAGAGATAGTCGAGAGAGATCGAGAGAGAGAGAGAGAGAGAGAGAGGGAGAGAGAGAGAGAGCGGGCGGACGGACAGACAGCCAGCCAGATAGAGGGAGACAGAGATAGAGATAGATAGAGAGGTAGAGCGAGAAAGATCAAGATAGACAGTTGGAGAGATAGATATACAGATAGACAGGCAAACAAATAGATAAAGACACAGAGAGATGGAGAGAGAGAGAGAGAGAGAGCCTCAGAGCCTCAGCCACCTTTCGGTCCATCAGTTCGCTCTGCCATCCATGCGTCACGACAACTCACCTCTCCTATATATCTATATCTATATCTAAGTTTCCTATCTTTGAAACTTCCGCCGCTGCCTTGTGCGGAACTACTGGTACATGTGTGTATGCACACTTGTCCGTGCGAGGAAAGATGTACCGAAGGCACAAACACATAGATGCGCACATAGACATGCATAAAGCTGCGCAGCGCGCCCTCATTATGAATATTCACATGATATTAATGATACTTAGTGATATTTACATAAGAATGCACAACATGTTTCTGCCAACGTACACAGTACGGTACTGCACCAGTCGGACTCATACACAGCTCCGGCTGGCTGGGCAACGACAAGGAGAGAAAGAGCAAGCGAATTGCATGGCAGGAGCTCCAGTGGGAATTTGCCCTGGTCTCCAGCGAAGTTCCGGATAAGCACAACGCGTGCTGATGGCTGATGTTAGATATGCTCTTTGTTCGACAAGGCACAACTCCAGCGGCTCTTTTGCGAACAAAAATGAGCAAGCAGGGCTCCCACCAATCGCTCCTTTCGACAAGCTTGATGTGAACAAACTAAAGCGCCCTTTCCCTCCAAACGTGCCATCTATAATCAGTTATCTATTTGCTGGTCCGTCAGGAGATGCTTCTGTAAACTGCAACATTTTGCAAAGATGGTTCACAGGACAGGAATGTTAGGAATGAAGGATTTGCAGGCTAAAGGTCCTAAAGGTGGCCAAGCTATAAAGATCTTCAAGCCGAACAAGGTTGTGGAATTGCGGGAAGGATGTAGATTTCTACGGCTCTGTATTGAATGTCTCTGCGTTGTCCATCTGACTCCCCAAATGTCACGACAAGAGCTTTCACTTTGCTAGTTATATACATTGCCAGTGGAGTCTTGAAGAGAATAAAGCATAAAGCACATGCAAAAATGCTGCAAGGAAATCTTGTGCGTTCAATTCATTTCATGCCCTGGCAAAAGAGGAAGAGGACAACTGCAACTTTCATCCTGAGGGAACTGCTTCGTCCATATTCAATAATAAAGAAAGACAATAGTATCGGGTTGGGCCTTTGGCAAAATTTGAAGCAACCCCAGTATGACCCAGGCCGCATCCTCCTCCAATCCCATGGCTATGATCAATCTGCCTTGGCGACAGAATGTTGTATGAACTCAAATAAACGGAACTTGTGGACAGATCAAAC